GCTCGACTCGAACTACGGAGTCCTCAACGAAGACACGCCCACCCGGCTGCCATACGCCGGCGAACCGACATCAACGGACGTGTCGTTGGCCCGTTCGCCTAGAATCGTGGAGCTTAACGCACAGATCACGGACGCCATCGCTTCTGAGAAGCGAGTGCAATGGCAGGCGCACGTGGAATCCATGGACTTCCGGAAGGACGCGAGCCGCCTCTGGCGCACCATCAAGAGTCTAGACGGCAAGCCCTTCAACCCGCCGAACGGGCCCTTCTCCTCCTCCGGCGTACAGCACACGCGTGCCGACCGACTAGCGGACCTCTTCAACACGCAGTACACCCGTGTGCGGCCGCACGACCGCGACCCTCTCATGCGGAGGACAGTCAGGAAGGTCAAGCGAACGCCACTCGAAGATGCACCGCAGTTCACCATAGTGGACGTCGCCGCCGCCATCCGCCGCGCCAAGAACTCGAAGGCAGCCGGACCAGATGGCATCACCATGCTGCACCTCAAGCACCTCGGCCCGCTCGGCCTCGAACGCCTCACCGACGTCATCAACGTTTCGCTTGCGTGCTGCTCCATTCCGGCCATCTGGAAGAGGTCGACCATCATCCCACTTCCAAAAGCCGGCAAGGACCCGTCGCAGTCGACGTCGTACGGCCAGTCTCCTTGCTGTGCCCGGCAGCCAAGATGCTAGAAGCGCTGCTCCTACCTTCGGTCACAGAGCACATGCCGCCCGCGACCCACCAGCACGGCTTCCGTCCGCTACACTCCACCACCTCCGCACTGCTCGAGATCACTAACGATGTGGCAACCGGCTTCAACCAGAAAAAGCCTGCGGAAAGGACAGTCCTCGTCTCGCTGGACCTCTCGAAAGCCTTCAACACGGTCGACCACAGGCAGCTGATCGACGCCATCTACCGGTCAACGCTTCCTCGTGCCACCGTCAGATGGCTCTCGGCATACCTTCGCGGATGCCAAGCTCGGACCCAGTTCAGAGGCGCCACTTCGTCAGCCAGAATCGTCCGCACGGGCGTACCACAAGGTTCGGTGCTCTCGCCGGCTCTCTTCAACGCGTACCTCAGCGACCTGCCGGCACCCCCATCAGGGGTAAAGATCAGCAGCTACGCGGACGACATCGCTATCCGCTGCCGACATGCCAAATTCCAAGTGGCACCCCAGAAGATCAACGCGTATCTGGCAACGCTAAAGGCCCGCCTGGACAATAAGCAGCTCATCGTCACCACCGAGAAGTCCACAGTCACGCTGCTGACGCCGGCAACGCGCGAGGCCCGGCTCACCATCCGGATGTTCGAGTGGACAACATACTACTGCCGCTCAACACGCGTCCGAAGATCCTTGGTGTGACCTTCGACACGATGTTCACCTTTGCCGACCACGGCCGCGCGGCGGCGGCCAAGACCAGCCGCCGTAACAACATCCTCAGAGCGCTAGCAGGAACGTCGTGGGGAAAGCAGAAGGAGACGCTCCTGACGACGTACCAAGGCAGTCGGACGGCCAATACTCAACTACGCGGCACCGGTTTGGACACCGCTGCTCTCAGACACCGGCTTCAAACGGCTCCAGATCGCCCAGAACGCAGCCTTAAGAACCGCCTTCGGCTGTCTCGCGATGAGCTCGACCACCTCCATCAGGAAACTGCGATGCTACCGGTCCGCGACCAAAACGTGCTCCTCACGGATCGGTTCTACGCACCGCCGGCACCCCAGCTCATCCGAATCACCACCTGGTGTACGAGCCAGATCCTCCTCGCGAGATGAAGCATACCATCCACAGCTTCAGCCGTAAAAGGAACGCAGACGCGATGGCAGCTACGTGCCCTCTACTGCATGTCGTCCAGAAAAAGCTGCATACCACGGCAGTCGAGACCTCAGCGCCCTTCCTCGCGACCAATGTCGTCCTCGGGGGACGACCCCCTCCGATCAGCAATGCGGAGAAGACGCTCCCAAGGAAAACTCGTGCAAAGCTCGCGCAACTACGATCTGGCTACTGCCGCGGACTGAAGAGCTACGTCGCCAGAATAGACCCTACCACTGCAGATACTTGCCCTCACTGCGACGGAACCCCGCACGATACGGCTCACCTCTTCAACTGTCCGGCCCACCCGACGGACCTCAAGCCTATCGACCTGTGGAACAAACCAGTGGAAGCAGCCGCCCACGTGATTTCTTTACTCTAACCCCGAAAACGACGAAGTGAGGCGGCCAACAACAACGGCGACGGCTGACGGTGACGGCTCTAGTGTTCACGAGAATCTCACTTATTTTCGTTAGAACTCGTCTAGCTTAGCGAAAAAACGTGTATGTACTATGCACAAGTTTCAGTCTCGAAAGCCGGAAAGCCCAAGCCAGCAAGCCCGCCAATGCCGCATTGCCGATTCGTGTCAAAAGTCGCATCTTTGAACGAAAACATGCCCGGTGACGGATCCATTTTGACGGCAACAATTCTTGCGATTAATTCGCCCGTCGCCGTCACCATCACCCGTCATGACGGGTTGACGGGATATTTTGAACACCCACCCGTCACCATCACCGTCGGCCGACGGGAGGGTTGACGGCGCCGCCGACGGCGACGGCCGATTGTGACGGGGCGCGTGTTCACAATTAGCCGTCACCGGCAACGTGACGGGTGACGCTGCGATGACGGGTAATTATGAACGCCGCTTAAGTTTGTCTTCCCGCTGAAGTTCGATGCTTTACCTAAAGCCTTTCGCCTTCCACCCACCGTTTCAAGTTTGCCTTCCTCGGTTGACGCTCAGTTTGGCACTGTTCGTTTTGGCACCGTAACTTTTTGGCACCGTTACGTTTTGGCAGCGTAACGATTTGGCACTGTTCGTTTTGGCACGTTTAGTTTGGCACCGTTCGTTTTGGCACCGTTCGTTTTGGCACAGTAACGTTTTGGCATCATAAGATTTGGCTATGCAAAAGCCAGTGATTGACGCACTTCCGCATGTACCGAAGCAGTTAGTTGTCGCAGAACCACAAAAACCAAAACGGTCCGAGCGATGCGTGTTGGCCAAGAGCATTTCATTTCATTCGAAAGTTGTTGTATCTCACCCGACCTTAGAGTGTTGCACACCAGGCTTAGTAGTGTAGCTCAGCCAAAAGCAATCATCAATCATCTGCGGCTAGGTAGAGCGGGGCTGGGGGGGGGGGGGTGGGGGGGTTCGCGACCGCGAGGACGACAAAGCCGTC